TTTATCCTCTGCACATCTGTATTCTAGACAACACCACACACACACACACACACACACACACACACACACACACACACACACACACACAGCAATACCACAACAAACCAGGCTGTGAGAATGTGTTGTGATCAAATCCCATTTACCTTATCATTTTTTCTTGCTCAATATTTGTAAAATTGCATGAATTAGAGACATTTTGTGCTTTCTAAGGTAAGCTGGTTTTGGTGGCTATCTTGATTTGTATAGGCTTGAAAAGATAATCAGTTCTAGAGGCACAACTGGTGATTATTTTATGCAACGTTGGTTAGAATTGGTCCAGTGGTTCACAAGATATTTTGTTAGCAGGTCGAAGCCGAAAAAAAAATACAGTGCAGAAAGTTGATGTCCTTATTTGAGTTTTCAAACAGCCAATAAATGACACCAGAACAATAAAACTCCTCAAACTCAATTTGCTTCTACGTTCAAAGTGCTATTCTAAGATTTTCAGTGGCCCCCCATCTAATCAACCCTTTGAAAATTGTCTGGGGGTGCACCTGGTTTGCTGTCTAAAAATAACCCACTATACTCAGACTCCAACAGTCCCTACAGATGAGGCTCAAAAGTTAAGAAACAGTTGTTGTCACTTAACAGTATGGTTTAACAAGCAGGCAAGTGAGGTCAGAGATGTTCATTTCACTCCCATGAACTAAACTTGAAGAGCGGCCACAGAGTGCACGGACCCTACTCCTCTTGTGGGCGAAAGAACCGTTAAAAGAGCAGAATCCATTAACGGCTCCAAACTGACCAGGGGAGCTTCCAAGCCTGCACTCACCACCAATCCCACAAAGAATACAAGAAATCTGCAGGTACAATGTTAAAGATGGAAAATTAGCTTCATCGGGATGCAGGTGTTTTTTAAATAAAAAGTGAGCACTGATTTCCTTTCTTAGTGCAGCCGGAAGATATTTCTCCAGATTTACAAGGCAATAAAACTAGCTGTCAAAATCTGACAGGGAAACTGTGGGGATCTGAACTCAAATATCATTTGCAGCAGTAATACTGAATAAAGCACGTTATCTCAGTCTCCTCTCGGATAAATGGCAAACTCAACACTTCAACGACGTGGCATCCTTTGTCGTAAAAGTAAAAAAAAAATATAAAAAGTTTCCCCTTTTAACCATTCATTCAACGACCACTTCTCACACCTGAGTTACCTTTACAAACTGAACAATTCAACCGCTCATTTGTAACGCCCGTGCTTTAAGGAGATTATTCACATTTATTTCTTATTATCTCCAGAACTGCTTTGTGAATTCTTTACCTGAAAGGCCACTGATGATGGACAGGAGGAGGAATGGTTTCCATGGTGACCCCATACTTGTCGGAGAGGGTCCCTTTTGCTAGAATGTTAGCAGGTCAGCGTCTTCATTAAAGCTGGCTGTGTCTGAAAGCAGAGGTAGAAAAGAAAAAAAATGAGCCGATGCCTGGATGTACCTGTTTATTACACGTATTTGCATGCATATATAAGGCGATTCAAGGCACGGTTCTAATCGGTGTGCAGAATCTGCATTTCCTGTCTCATCTGAAGATCACAGCGATGTTCAGAGAGCAGGATTTTCCCCACAGGAGAGCAGCACATGCTCCAACTTCTCAGCTTCATTTAGACTTACACAAAGGGTTATGTTTTACTACCTCATTCTGGATTCCTCACATGTTTTGTTATTATAATTATGTGTAGACTATCTTGGCTTAAATTCTCATTTTCCTGTATGTGTTCTGGGGGGAAATAAAATAAAAATAAAAATCAAACATGCTTTTCAGAATCTAACTGTGACTGGAACTCACTAACAAGGCTGTTGAAAAGACACGTGTGTAAGTACAAAGTGTGAACAGCTTGTGATTGGCAGCAGTCTTTTCATGCCGCAGCTGTAGAAACCAGACTGAACAAACAGAACATGCACCTTTGTGTTTAACCAGCATATTTTATTTTACTGTTCACAGAAGTTTTAATGCAAAACTAGTTACAGGTTTTGGTATTTTCAAGTGATGCTATTCTGAAAGCCCAACTATCCCCAGCAGACTCTATACACCTCATTGATAGCTTCCTGCTGTTTTACATGTGTTGTCAGGGATCCCACGGGAAAAAAGAAAATAAAAAAAATATGTGAAATTTCATTGCAAGACATTTCACATGTCTGGTACTTGCATTTATGGAAAAGGATAGAATTAAATGTGATGCCGTCTCCAACAGTGGCCCCTGTTTATTAACTAGATCCCCATGAATCATCTTGTAAATATCATTGGCTAAACGATTGGTTAAACACTTAGCAGCTCAGAAAGCCATTATTCTTTTGTTTTTGTTTCCAAAGTTGCATATTGAATTAAAGGTAATGAATGGCTACACAGCTGTGGTGTCAGAATGAAGCTAAAAGCTGATTGGCTGATTTGAGTCATGTGTACCACAGACAGGTGGGATATGAGGGGCTTGCCACACATTTTGTGCCTCTAGTGTTTTATCATGGAACTGCATCTGCCATCATCACCCTTGGGCAAAGGACAGATGAGTGGCAGGATAGGGGCACTTCAGCGGGCCAATCAGATTTCAGTTGGGGCCAATGCCCCTGTAGCCCCGTCCCTAGAACCACCCCTGATGTGTGGTATCTACAGAAATATCAGAATCTTGGCTACAACCTGGTAAAAAATCATTTCAATGAACACCCAAGACTGTTAAACTACAAGCAGTTGTAGATAAAACTATGAAAGTCAAAATAACATTGGTTTAAAAATTTGACAATCAGAGATTTCAAAACATTATTTGTGGTAAATAAGAGGCATAATGTGTTTTGTTGTTTTATTATAACTACTTTTATTACAAAGGGTTCTGTATGCTTTACTCATGATTAAATGCAGCAAATGCAGCAAAATAAACTATTTCCAAGGTAACATATCTTTGTAATAATCTTTGTAATGTTTAATTACATAATTACTTTAATTGCTGGATGTTCGGCTCCTTGGCTGTTGGCCTGCAGTAACTGTGGCCCCTGGAGCAATTTAGTTGAATAGCCCTGGTATTGATGAACCCAGTTGGTCAAAAGAGGTGTCAATCGAAAGAAGACAACCAATCAAATTGTTTGAACAGCGTTTTCTGCAAATTCATAGTCTCTGGTAGTGTGGGTCAGGCTCCAAAGAGGGAGGAAGTAACCACAAACTGGGAATATACCACGGGCAGTACATTGGTGGTTAAGGGGTTAAAGAGAAAAATGTGTTTAAAACCACTCGAAATATGTTTAGAACTGCAAAATAATTCAATAAAATAATTTGACCTTGTCTTAAAACCAGCGACATACTTGTAACAGCATGGTTAAACTAACAATCACAACAGAGAAATAAAACCACACTAAGAAAAAAAAAAACAACAACCCGGTTAAAATCTGCCCATTGTTCTTTGAAAAATGGACATACAACATAAAATATATATATATATACTCTACCATGTGACTTGTAAAGCATGCAATTATTCTGGATTTAGGACGTGTGCAGCGTGTTTAGCATGTTAGAACAGTTAAAACTGTTCAAAAATGCTAGATTTGGTCATATCTAATAAATATTGCTCCAGAAGAAAATAAAAGAAAGAAAATCTATCACCATGCCATGGCTCATTTTTGTCCAAAAATGTGAGTAAACTTATATCCCTTCTATGTTAGTTAGAATACATTTGCTCTTTTGCTGTCAGAAAAGGTTTTTTTTTCTGTAAACATGACACATTGTTGTTCCTGTTTGCTCACATCAGACTAAAAAGTGCAGACCTTGTTAGTCCCTTCTGCATCATTCGTCTCCACAGGAAAAAAAAGAACTACTCCTTCACTTATCCGACAAGTGCACGCATTCATTTGAACCCTCAATTTGCTCTTCATGCTCCCTTATCTCAGTGACAGCATGTCTCATCTTCATCAAAGCCATTTGGTCCACTTAGATCCCGAAAGGTCTGAGGGTCGGCAGAAGAAATGTCCACACGCCACGAGAGTCATTGAACGCTCATCATTTACGCCGTCTTGTCTGTTCTTCATCTCAGTAGCTACCTTGTATGCAAACTGTAGCAGTGGCAGTTTAGCAAAGCTATTCACATAAGTTAGCTTGGACTATCTGGCATTTTGATATAGATTAAACAAATGTTTTTCCTTTGCAAGTTACATTTTTATTGTTAATTAATAAACTTCTCCCTAAAAGTTTATTCATTATTTAAAAATTAAAGGAAAGTAAAACTAAGAACATTCCTTCTTGCTATAAGCTGGTTTTTATTCTCTTCACACACTGATGTAAACAACTAAATAGCCGAAGGTCTGTTGTCTAGACGAGCCGTTTCTCCTTTTAGGTAAAAGCTCTCGCACGCCTTCACCGCACTGTGACCTCTTGAGCATCTAATTTGCAAACAGGAATGCAAAAACCTGAAATGTTTTATCAGAGTGAGAACAGCAGCTGAAGAACCACAAGTATTAAACTTCTTCTTGGTTTTAAGTGTCAGCTTTATGTCCGCAGGCTCTGCAACCAACAGTTACTTTGGATTATCTTTTCCTCAGTTTCCTCAGTTGTTACTCAAATAAAATAAAAGTGCCAGCTACGAATGATTTCTCAACTAATAACTACTAATGACCATTTTAAATTTACTGATGCAAAACACTACTATTGCAAAAATAACATAAGAAAACAACCAAATGCGAAATTAATTTGTCATTTTTGTCTGTGTGAAAAATTAAAAGTTTATAATGTCTTAAATAAACACAAGAATATTAAACAAAGAAAGAAAAGAAAATGTAACTAGTGACCAGAAAGCATACCAATTAACTGGACAAGCAAAAGAAAGCTCTCCCCTGTGTTTTTGTGATTGATCAAAGTAGGCAGGTAAGCAATTGGATGTTTGGTAAAAATAACATTAAAGTGTATCTTACAGATAACTCCGCCCCAAGGCAAAATTTGAAAAATGCATCAAAGTGGGTAGGGGAGGGGGGGTTAGAGAGCGGAGGTGTGGCAGGGAGAGAGAGAGAGAGAGAGAGAGAGAGAGAGAGAGAGAGAGAGAGAGAGAGAGAGAGAGAGA